CAAGATTCTTTGATGAATAGAAAGTTCAATGAACACCATGAATTTGAAATGGAAATATTTTGTTACGTTAATAATGTCTTTATTATAACTTTTGATTAATTGAATGCGTCCTTGTGTAAATAAAAGTATTTAATCCCACCGGTCACAATAGTGACTGTAAAGAAGGTTTTTATTTATAAAGCTCTAAAGATATTACTGACTGGTGTTTTAGTGCATTTTCTGCAAATATGGAAAAAATAAAGGGTCTCAATTAAATATGTGCAGTGCCACATGTTTAGTGCAAATTGTAACATGACCAGAGCAGTTTGCTTCCTGTTTGCACCATGAGATGATAATGGCTGCATCAAAGCTCCAAAACAAAAGGCTAGTAAAGTATGTATGTTAACATAAAGACATGACAAAGATTTTTAGTACACATTATCTTTAAGGCTACTAGTATTATTATATGAATTCACAATTATTCAGTTGTGTTGAGTGTGTACATAGAATGAGTAAACATGTTGATGGCAACAATAGTGAAAATTAAAATTATAATAGTGGGATAACTATTTTTGTTCTTTATCTTAGTATACCTATTCAGTGTTGTATAAGGGTGTTTTACAGTTTTTATAGTAACCATAGAATGTGATGAAACAGTTTACAATGGGTAATAACTGAACTGAGATATATAAGAATTTTGATGACTGCAGAAATAATTTAATTTCAGTATACACATTATCCCACCGGTCACAATTGTGACCAACCATAAAACATGCACTTTTCCATAAAAATGTCAAAAAATAATTATTGATTATTTCAAGGGGTTACTAACGACACATAATTTGATGTTTTCATGTCTGAGAAAAATTTGGGATTAAATGAATTAAGTATTGAATCTAACCCTCAAGTTTTGAATGGTAGAACAGCTTTCACAAAACTATTAAACCACAAAAACTGTTTTCAGTATAAAAACTTTTTAATAATGTTTCTTGAGCAGCAAGTCAGCATATTAGAATTATTTCTGAAGGGTCATGTGACTGAAGACTGGTGCTGAAAATTGTTATTTTAAATGTAAAGTACTTTTCTACGCGATTGATGTTTTCCCATCATTTTTGACCAAATGTGACGTGTATGTGTGTTCACCTGTAGCGTGTCCCCCGGGTCAGTGGGGTCCCAACTGCATCCACACCTGTAACTGTCACAACGGGGCGTTCTGCAGCGCGTATGACGGCGAGTGTAAGTGTACAGCCGGCTGGACGGGGCTGTACTGCACACAGCGTGAGTACAACTCATCACCTCTGACCTCCAGCCTGTGCGCTCACGACTGACCCCATGGTGCTGCTGTGTCCTGCAGGCTGTCCGCTGGGCTTCTACGGCAAGGACTGTGTTCAGGCGTGTCAGTGTGAGAACGGCGCAGACTGCGATCACATCTCCGGTCAGTGCACCTGCCGCACTGGCTTCATGGGACGCCACTGTGAACAGAGTGAGTATGAAAGCAGAGCTGGTCCTTTGATATTTTCAAGCACACGCTCGAGTCTGCGTCTGATCCACGGTTTTCCACTGGCTTCCAGAATGTCCTGCAGGTACGTACGGATACGGCTGTCGGCAGGTGTGCGCATGTCTCAATAACTCCACCTGTGATCACATGACTGGCACCTGCTACTGTAACCCCGGCTGGAAAGGCACACGCTGTAACCAGGGTAAGCTTACATTAGCACTTGCAGTTATTAAATACAGTGGGTAAAATAAGTATCGAACACGTCACCATTTTTCCCAGTAAATATATTTCTGAAGTTGCTGTTGACATGAAATTTTCACCAGATGTCGGTAACAACCCAAGTAATCCATACATACAAAGAAAACAAAACAAATAAGTTCAGAAATTAAGTTGTGTAATAAAATAGAATGACAGGGAAAAAGTATTGAACTACTGAAATGTATTTAATACTTCGTACAAAAGCCTTTGTTGGTAATGACTGCTGTATGGAGAATCTAGTGGCATGCGTTGCTCATTTTGGTCCATTCTTCCACAGAGTCTTGAAGGTTCTGTGGGCCTCTTCTATGAACTCTGACCTTTAGTTCTTATTTTCTATTGGACTCAAGTCAGGTGATTGGCTGGCCATTTTAGCAGCTTTATTTTCTTTCTCTGAAACCAATCAAGAGTTTCCTTGGCTGTGTTTGGGATCATTGTCTTGCAGAAATGTCCACCCTTGTTTTATCTTCATCATCCTGGTACTGTAGGTGTTGGGACTGAAGCTAATATTAAAGGGGTCATATGATGCGATTTAATTTTTTCCTTTCTCTTTAGAGTGTTACAAGCTCTTGGTGCATAAAGAAGATCTGTAAAGTTGCAAAGACTAAAGTCTCAAATCCAAAGAGATATTCTTTATAAAAGTTAAGAGTTAGCCACGCCTACCTAAAACGGCTCGTTCGAACACGCCCCCACATGTCTACCTCACTATGTGGGAAGATTTGCATAACACCGCCCAAATGTTCACATAAAGAAAGAAGGCGTAACTTTTATTCTCACTGTAGTATTGTTGCCGCTGCCGCCATGTCCTGAAGACGCTGTGTGCTTCGTTGTGAAAGCGAATAATTTCACTGATGAGGGGCAGGATTTCTTTCTAATTACTGATAGATTTCTGCTGGTGTCTTGCTTTCCATGCCTTTTTGCTCCTCCCTTTCTTCATGTGTTCAATACTTTTTCCCTGTGTCATTCCACTTTATTACACGGAACTTAATTTCTGAACTTATTTGTTTTGTTTTCTTTGTATGTATGGATTACTTGGGTTGTTACCGACATCTGGTGAACATTTCAAGTCAACAGCATATATATTTACTGAGAAAAATGGTGATGTGTTCAATACTTATTTTACCCACTGTAGGTAGAATCTTTGTTTCCTTTGTATCCATTGGTATGAATGGGCTGTTTTAGAATAGCAAAAAAAATCTCAACATCAGAAATAGATACAGTGCCTTGCAAAAGTATTCATACCCCTTTATTTTTTTCACGTTTTGTTACAGCCTTATGTTAAACTGCTTTATATTGCTTTTTTTCCACATCAATCTTTACAAATTTGTTAGAAATAAAAAATGAAATGATTCTATTGCATAAGTATTCATACCCTTTTCTGGGGCACTTTAAATTTAACTCGAGAGTATTCATGTTGCTTGTAGATGTGGCAAATTCAATTGAATGGGTATGATTCGGAAAGGCACATGTCTTAATAAAAGGTCTAACAGCTGATAATGCATATCAGAGCAAAAACCAAGCCCTGAGGTCAGAAGAACTGCCTCTAGTGCTCAGAGACAGGATTGCATCAAGCCACACATCTGGGGAAGAGTTCAGAAAAAATTCTGCTCTGTAGTCTCCACTGCTCTTCACCTGCAGAGTACCATCCCAACAGTAAAGTGTGCTGGCAGCAGCCTCATGCTGTGGGGCTGTTTTTCAGCGGCAGGGACTGAGGGACTCGTCAGGGTTTCTAAAAGCTCAATGCACCAAAATATTGAGATAGCCTTAATGAAAACCTAGTTCTGAGAGCACTCAGAACCTCAGACTGGGCAGAAGGTTCACCTTCCAACCGGACAATGACCCTGAGCACACAGCAAGAGTGGCTTATAGACAACTCTGTGAATGTCCTTGAGTGGCCCAGCCACAGCCTGGGATTGAACCCAATCAAGCATTTCTGGAGAAACCTGAAAATGTGCTTCAACTAATTACTGAGTTAAGGGTTTGAATAATTATGCAATGTACTTATTTCAGTGTTTTATTTTAATTTAAATTGGCAAAGTTGTCAAGTTTGTTTTGTGCTTTGTCATTATGGTGTATGGAGTGTAGATTGATGTGGAAAAAAAGTAATTTAAAGCAGTTTAAAATAAAGCTGCGACTTAACAAAACGTGAAAAAAAAAAGATACTTTTGCAAGGCACTGCATGTCCAGTGTAGATGCTTCACGGCTACACTGACCCTCTGGTTCCGTCACATGGACGCACATGGAGGTTTCGCTCAGTGGGATACTCTCGTGTTGCTCTTTGTATGTGTGACTGAAGTTTGCTGTCTTTCTCAGCCGGCGTGATCATCGTAGGGAATCTCAACAGCTTGACGAGTGCCGCTGTGCCTGTGGACTCGTATCAGATCAGTGCGATCGCAGGAATCATCGTTCTGGTGCTCCTCGTGCTCATCCTCCTTTAACATAAAGCTGCGACTTAACAAAACGTGAAAAAAAAAATGATACTTTTGCAAGGCACTGCATGTCCAGTGTAGATGCTTCACGGCTACACTGACCCTCTGGTTCTGTCACATGGACGCACATGGAGGTTTCGCTCAGTGGGATACTCTCGTGTTGCTCTTTGTATGTGTGACTGAAGTTTGCTGTCTTTCTCAGCCGGCGTGATCATCGTAGGGAATCTCAACAGCTTGACGAGTGCCGCTGTGCCTGTGGACTCGTATCAGATCAGTGCGATCGCAGGAATCATCGTTCTGGTGCTCCTCGTGCTCATCCTCCTCCTCCTCTTCATCATTTACCGCAAGAAACAGAAAGGCAAAGAATCCACGATGCCTGCGGTCACGTACACGCCTACCATGAGGGCCAACACCGATTATGCCATCGCAGGTCAGCATCACGATGACATTTCTTCTCATTCTTACAATTTCCTGTGTAATTCTCATGAGGAGACGTGTGTGTGTGTGATGTGTTTTCTGTTTGTAGAGTCGCTCCCGCAGACTGACGTCCTTCCCAACAGTAACTATTTCTCCAACCCCAGCTACCACACACTGACCCAGTGCAGCAGCCCTCCTCACACCAACAACCTGCCCTATGGAGAGGTGCTACTCTACTAACAGACAGCTCTGGGAATAAAGGACTAATATTCTGGGCTGTTTACAAGATACTGCTGCTGAATACAGCTTTTCCACTGATTCCCTTGCCTATGTGTTGTTTGAAGCATTTTTTGATATATTTTGGAGTAAAATAAGGTGTGTCATTTTGTACAAAATGTACACGAAAATGGAATGTTGACCGCAGGCTTTATTTAATCAAGAATCCAAAACCGCCATTCTAACTCATGGTTTCAGGAGCAGAAGCTGACCAGAATTGAGGAATTATGTGGAACGTTGTAGAAAGACACTTGCTATAATTGTTGATTTTCTTCCACCTGACAGCCGAAGAACAATCAGTTGTTTGTGAACGTGAAGAACGCTGATCCGAGGAAACATCTTTCCCTGCTGGATCACACAGGAACTCTACCGGCCGACTGGAAACAAGGAGGATCCTTCAATGAGCTCGGTGTGACATCCAACCACCATGATCACAACAAACACAGCAGCCAAACATTTGACACGATAATGTTCAGTAGCCCAGCGTTAACAAAAACGTACAGATGACTAACTGTGCGGTGACTCGTTTCCTGACCGCCTCTGTGCAAACACTCGTCATTTCACATGCAGCATTCGTAGCATTTGCAGCTGTAAGCTGTGTCAACAAAAGGACTGCATTCGTTTAACTTCTTCTGTCTTGATTCTCTTATTAGGAGCTTATGGAGTTGACAGGCGTTACATGGGAAAGTCACTGCGAGGTAAATGATCATTTAGCAAGCAAAGAGAAAATTCTCTCATTTACTCATGAAGCATGTATGCATTTCTTCTGTGGACACAAAAGACAATATTTAGAAAAATGTCAGTGGGGTGCAGTGTTGTTTGCACCCTTGCGTGCTCCAAAATATGTTCTTTGCTTTGTGAAGAAAGCATACAGGTTTGAGTAGGGCTGCGACGATAAATCAATGCAGAATCGATTTTTGGTTAGATTCTGAGATCTTCTGAATGCATTGCGATTCTCTCTGGAATCAATTCTGAGGTTAGATTTTAACGGCAGATGGCGCTCTACTCTAGTTTTGATCCGCACACTCAAATGCTCATGAAGAAGAGCGCTTGCGCGTTCAGCTGAGTCTGTAATTTCACCTCGGCCCAGAATGCTTTTATGACACCAGATTAATGTAAACACAGCCCACTGTGAGAACCTTTGTAATTCGCTTCAACCTTTTCAAATTGTATGAATGATTATTTTAGGTTCAAGTGTGTGTAAGGATTTGGAAACGAGCAGAGTACGGCTGTTTCTAAAGCATGCAGCGCCATCTGCTGTTCAAAACTAAGCTCAGAATCCACTCGAGAAAGAATCGCGGTGCTTTCGGAAAATCTCAGAAGCGATGCGGGATCATTTCTCGATTCGCCATGCATCGATTTATTTTCCCAGCCCTAGGTTTGAGGGTGAGTAAATGCCTTCACACAGTGTGATGATTTGACCCCTTCTCTCTGTCTGTAGATCTGGTGAAGAGCGTGCCCTATCACGCCAGCTCCAGCTCTCTAAACAGCTCAGAGAACCCATACGCCACCATCAAAGACCCTCCTCTGCTGCTGACCAAGAGCTTGGAGTGCGGCTATGTGGAGATGAAATCTCCCGCTCACAGAGACGCGCCGTACGCTGAGATACACTCCTCCGGCCCTGCCAACAAAAACGTCTATGAAGTTGGTAAGAGAATAACAGATCCAGCCACAGCAGTGAGCCGTGCACTTTCGTTATTCAAAGCTGACGTAATAAATGCCAAGTTCTGTCATGAAACTCTAGATGACTCAGACTGGTGGGTCGTTAATGCAAATTGATGATATTAACAGCATTACACTACTTGGCACAAGATAATTTGTTCATGTTGCATACGCAGCCAATGTTGCATACATTATTTGGCTGGTTAGCATTCACTAGAGTTCCTCGGAAACCCTCCGCCTTCCCCAGCTCCACCTGTATAGACCTGCAGGTTATTTTATATGCTATTTGTGCAGCATCAGTATGTCTTAAATACTCACGGCACCGTATCGCCGTATGCATTGGCAGTAGCAAGTTTCTGTACTTGCTTGCAGCAACAGCAATAATCTACAACTACAGCAATAACCAGCAGCAGCAGCGTAGCAGATCTATTCTGCCAAGACCAAACACATTAACATTGTCATATCCATTACCATACTAAAATCTTCCAAGAGTTGTCATGATAGAACTGTATTAGAAATGGACTCACTGACTATTATTTTCTAAACTACATTCCAATATTTAAAAGTCATAGTCAGCCGTTTTTATTTGTACTTCATATGAACAGTTTTACCCTTGATGGGACTACATATCTACATATCCACTCCGTATGAACAGCTTGAAGTCTCCAGTAATGCTGCACAGATGTGATGTATCCTTACAAACCTGAAGGCATCACATCAGTTCCTCGGCTAGCAGAAAATGAGTAATCGTGAGTCGTGCGAGAGCAGCTGTTGTGTTCACATCATGTCGCCACACATACATTATAATTGGGCCGTCACGCCTGTCTTTTCCATCAGCCCTCACCCTGGTCTGTTTGTACAGGCACTGCAGATGAGGACAGACTACCCAGAGAAAGCCTGTTTATAATGACACTTTCCATCTGAAAGATCTCTTACTACAGGAAACATTCCCATCATGTTTAAGCAGGTGCTCAAAAAACCAGCACGAGCCCTCCATCAGTCAACTACACACTACAGTCTCTCTCTGAGCGTTCATCTTCCACCGAGCGCTCCAGACACAGCTAAAGACACGCAGCCCTTCCCTCAGCGCTTCAACCAGAGCGCACTATTGCTTACTTTAGATCCTAACGTTCCTTTGACTCACACCACACAGTGAAGCTGTACACTTCAGGATCTTAATGCTACAATACTGGAAAACTACATTCTGAAGAATAACAATACATTCCTCTATTTAGTCATTTTTCCTGTTACTGATTCTGTAACATGAGCAAATGACTTGGAGCCATTATTGGCCTGGCCTGGGTCTTTCATTGTTGAAAGTGTGTATCTCATTTGCACTGTTGTTTGACGCTTGCATCAGTATTTTGTCTTGATGCAAATAAGAGCAAATATGTGCTAGCAAATGCTCCAGCGGTCTAAGGCCAGTCAGAGACACTTCTGCATATTCATCCCATGCAGCAAGCAACAGGAAAACTCCTGTAATCAGCATACAATATTCTAGTACTCTTTCATATGGTTGAGAACCTCTGATAAATAAATAATAAAATTACTTATAATCTTTTGAAAACATTTTAGTTTTTAACAGTCTTCATTACTGATTTTTGGCTTTGCTATGCTTGAAGCTGCTTGTCGTTTCCACGATGGGACTCGACTTTCCTGCAGAACAGAAACTGCTGTTTTTGGTATTTATAAATAATTAGTGAGATAACAGTATGTAAGCCATGTAACGGTTTGAACCTGTGTTTTTCCCTATCCAGAGCCGACCATCAGTTCTGTCCACACACTCTCTAACAACAACTGCAACGGGCCATTTTGTCAAGATCCATACGACCTACCAAAGAACAGCCACATCCCGTGTCATTACGACCTGCTTCCCACGAGAGACAGCAGCCCCTCGCCCCTCAAGGACACAGACCGCAAATAAACCCAGAGGCTTCACTGACGCACCGCAAACCTCTGCACTTCCACAGCACTCTGTTAACACTTCCATAGCTGTCTGTGTTGACATTCATCCATATTAAAGTTCTTACTTCTGGCTTACAGGATTCAATAGTTCTTGTCAAGTCTGACCCAGAGTAATGTGGAGTGTTTTGGTGGAGGTGCAAACATTCGTAATCTTCACAAACAAATCATTCCATTCATTAAGAACAGCATTGCACACAAATACAGGACAATCCTTAAAGGGATAGTTCACCCAAAAATGAAAATTAGCCCATGATTTACTCACCCTCATGGCATCTTAGATGTATATGACTTTCTTCTTTCAGACAAATCCAATTGGAGGTAGATTAAAAATTGTCCTGGTTCTTCCAAGCTTTATAATGGCAGTGAATGGCTGTTATTTTTCAATAGTCCAAAAGAAGTCCCAATAAAGTGCATCAATTCATAATAAAACATGCCTCACATGGCTCCGGGGGGTGAATAAAGGCCTCCTGTAGTGAATCCATGCGCTTGTGTAAGAAAAATATCCAATTTTTAAAACTTTATACACAGTAACCTCTAGTTTCCGCTAACTGTCATATGCGCGTTCACAATAAAACGCTGTTCCGGCGGATGACGGAGGACGTCGGCGTAGTGCATGCGCCGCTGAGAAGTGACAAATGCAGAGAAGCACAGAGGAGAGAGCAAAACAAAACAGCGCTCACGAATTAGAAGTATAAAACAAGGATTTGTAAAGAAGAATGTCGGAGGAGTTCAATATAAGCCAAGAGGAGACTGGTTTTCCTGCTAAAGTAAGGACACTTTGCTTCTGTAAACAAACGTTGGTTCTCGCGAGACTAGCATATTCTCACCGGAGCTTACGCTACGCCGACGTCCTACATCATCCACTGGAACAGCGTTCTGTTGTGAACGCGCGTTTGACAGTTCAGCCAAGTTCACACTACAGGATTTTAAGCCCGATTTGCAAGTTAACGAGCTCACCGACAGGTCAGGCTGTGATTGGGGGAAAACCATCGGGTGATCAGCGCTCAGCAATCTTTATGTGTGAACTACTCAACGATTAATCAAAGAGGCTCGCCGACACCAAACAAATATCTAGCAAGCTAAATATCTGGACCGGTCAGCGACGAGCTTCAGACATTCGTAATCTTCACAAACGAATCATTCCATTCATTAAGAACAGCATTGCACACAAATACAGGACAATCCTTAAAGGGATAGTTCACCCAAAAATGAAAATTAGCCCATGATTTACTCACCCTCATGGCATCTTAGATGTATATGACTTTCTTCTTTCAGACAAATCCAATTGGAGGTAGATTAAAAATTGTCCTGGTTCTTCCAAGCTTTATAATGGCAGTGAATGGCTGTTATTTTTCAATAGTCCAAAAGAAGTCCCCATAAAGTGCATCAATTCATAATAAAACATGCCTCACATGGCTCCGGGGGGTGAATAAAGGCCTCCTGTAGTGAATCCATGCGCTTGTGTAAGAAAAATATCCAATTTTTAAAACTTTATACACAGTAACCTCTAGTTTCCGCTAACTGTCATATGCGCGTTCACAATAAAACGCTGTTCCGGCGGATGACGGAGGACGTCGGCGTAGTGCATGCGCCGCTGAGAAGTGACAAATGCAGAGAAGCACAGAGGAGAGAGCAAAACAAAACAGCGCTCACGAATTAGAAGTATAAAACAAGGATTTGTAAAGAAGAATGTCGGAGGAGTTCAATATAAGCCAAGAGGAGACTGGTTTTCCTGCTAAAGTAAGGACACTTTGCTTCTGTAAACAAACGTTGGTTCTCGCGAGACTAGCATATTCTCACCGGAGCTTACGCTACGCCGACGTCCTACATCATCCACTGGAACAGCGTTCTGTTGTGAACGCGCGTTTGACAGTTCAGCCAAGTTCACACTACAGGATTTTAAGCCCGATTTGCAAGTTAACGAGCTCACCGACAGGTCAGGCTGTGATTGGGGGAAAACCATCGGGTGATCAGCGCTCAGCAATCTTTATGTGTGAACTACTCAACGATTAATCAAAGAGGCTCGCCGACACCAAACAAATATCTAGCAAGCTAAATATCTGGACCGGTCAGCGACGAGCTTCAGCCAGTGAGAGAGCAAGGCATGTGTTGAGGTCAGCGGAAGGAAAAACAGCAGCAGCAACATGGAACAAGTTTGGACAAGAAATGAAGCAATATTTTTCAGAACAGATCATCACTAATTTCAGCGCTAATTTCTTCTCAACCTCCATTTTCAAATAGCTCCTGTTTCACGTGTTGTTTCACGTCATTCCCGTTCCACTCCTCGCGTGTGTTTTCGTGACAAAACGTGGTTTGGGGACCAGAAAGAGACGTTGGGTGACAGAGATGTTGACTGCTCGTGTAGTGTGTGACCCCTGTTGCGGATCATTTACGCTGTGTTACGTAGTGTACACAACAAACCGTGAGCCGTGTGAGGCCGTTTTTATTATGGATGGATGCGCTTTATTGGACTTCTTTTGGACTGTTGAAAAATAACATCCAGTCACTGCCATTATAAAGCTTGGAAGAGCCGGGACATTTTTAAATATAACTCCGATTGTATTCGTCTGAAAGAACACCTAGGATGGCTTGAGGGTGAGTAAATTGGGGTAATTTTCATTTTTGGGTGAACTATCCCTTTAATGTTTCTGAGCAAATATGTCAGATTATTCCCAATGACAGTTTTCCTTTTTTTATGATGTTTAGGATATTAGTACTGTTTATTGAGACTGGACTATCAGCTCTGTGTTTCTGTTATTGATTTTCTTTTGTCCGAAAGCATTTCAGGTTTACCAAAGGTTGACATGCCCTGATAAAGCACCGTTTGTGTTGTATTAATATTGACAGCCTCCCAGTAACTATAGTTTACAGTCACAAGTTTTAACATTAGCATCATTTTTGGCTTGTGTCTTTTGATTTTAGTCCTATAAAACATGATCACTGAAATGAAGGGCAGATACTTCAGTTTGTAGTACTTTATAGTTTTTAGTAAGCTAAAGCTGGACTTTTGCGAAGAAAGAAAAATCTTTAAGATGATGTGATGGGGTCAGTTTGATACGAATACATCTTCGGAGTATTTAGGACATGAGTCTTAAAGCACTCTGAGCCTGGACTTTAATTGTATAAAACTGTACATAGTACCAGTTCTTTAATGAATTGCATTTATTTCCTTTAAAAATGTAACATATTCCTAAATTCCTCTGTAACTTGACCAATACTGTGTTAAACAGGACATGCAGTGAAGACTCTGACTTTACTGACTGGACCTCAGTATACTGTTTTCCTTTTTTTACTGTACTAAATATGCCACACAAAGAAATGATTAATAATACTGATTCCAAAAACAACTGAGTGTGTATGAGTGTGTGCTGTATGTATCTTAAAACTGTATCTTTGTTTTGCTTTTTTCCAGATTTTTTTAAATAAATGCACAAAGTGTAATACGTTCCACAAGGTGTCATTTTTCTCTTCCCAATGATAGACGATCTAATATATTTCTACTCTGCAACCACTTTCTTTCCACATTTACTTTGAATGCATTATTTTACATTTTTAGCTGATATATACTATACATGCAAATATGATTAACAATGAAATAAATAATTGTCAAGTTGACATGGTTAGGTGAGCTTTTGTAATTTAGTAAATGTCATTGGAATAGATTCCTATTAATGAAACACTGAAATGATCTGAACTGATCTCATGAAGTTCTTGTTTGTTAGCTTGGTAAAATGTTACAGCTGTAACCAGTCATACAGTGAGTGATATTCAAACCAACAGGAGATTGCGTTATGGTGGGTTTTATACAACAGTTCTACAAGAAGTGTCACCTAGTCTATTTTTACTCCACCATCATAATAGAATGGTGCATGTATTCAGAAGACTAATTGACTGATGGTTCCTTTAAGAATTTCCTATGGGGTTTCAAAATGGGGCTCCCTCTCGAGACGGCCTCTCAACATTGTGTGATCGTTTTCACGCTTTGGAGAACTCACTTTCTCCGAAATGCTGAAGCCTGATTGAATTGCACTATTTTGCCTGCAATAGCCAATGGTGTTCGAGTTTCAACCCGCGACCTTCGGGTTACAAGTCCGACTCTAACCATTAGGCCACGACTGCCCCGAAGCCATTATTGTATTCATTAAGGAAAGTATTAAATAGACATTACAAAAATTAGCTTTACAAAGAAATATTTTATTTGAACAGAATTTATTATAAACTTTTAGGCTACAATGGCCTAACATAAACTGTGGAAAATAAAAGAAGATAATTTGAGAAATAACTCCGTTCATATAATGAAAGTCAACCATAACCAAAACTGTTTGTTTACCCGCATTATTCTAAATAAAAATAAATAAATAAATTTTTTTTTTTAAAAAGGAGAGGAAGAAGTCATCCAGGTTTGAAAGGACATGCAGGTGAGTAAATAGCCGCGTTTCCATTACCCTTCAAATTGCTAAAATTGAAATTGCGATTTGAAAATATAGCCAGGAAACAAGTAAATTTTGCAAAACTCCCATATGTCGCAAAAAAGTTTTTATGCTCGCATGAGGTGGTTTTTCAGGCAATTCGAAAAGGAATATATTGCAAAACTGCAATGGAAACAGTTTTTTTTCACATTTACAGGTCATCTGGTGTACGTAAAAGTCAAATGGTCATTCTTTAATGTACTGTAACCTCCAAGAAACACTTCATATGTGGCCGGGATAACCCCTTATTTACACTGCACACGTCTGCAGCGCATTACGGCTCCAACACGGCCACTGGCCTCTTCTAGTCAAAGTTTGTGTTTATAGCAGCTGCGCCGCAGCACGTTTCACAAACGGCCCAGAAGCGTCTCTCCATGCTGCTTTGCTAAAGATACACGCATGCGGCAAGGAAAAGTTAGGTTTTAGTCGCATAACATCGGTTAATGGAAATGCCGTCATGTTGCAACAGTTTTTTTTATCAACATTCATAAAATATCGCAAAAGTTTTGCGCAAATCTATAATGGAAACCCGGCTAATGATAACAGAATTTAAATTTTTGGGTAAACTATCCTTTTTTAATTATTATGGAAATATGTGATTTGAATCAGGTGTGGTAAACAAGAGTGACATGCAAAATATGCAAAACTTTGCAAAGCTTTGACATATTTACACCAAACTTTGTATGTGCTATTGTCACATCACACTGACCAGGCCACATCATTTTGGTAACAGTGCCACCTATTGGTCAAGAGTAGTAAATCATTCATTAACCATTAAAGGGATAGTTCACCCAAAA